CCAATCCCCCATCTTTTAAATTTTTTTGTAACATCCAGCTTGAAAAAGAGACCTGGTGAGCTCGAACGTTTGCACACCATTTTAGCAAATTGGGTTGGTCCTAATAAAAGGCGTTGCATGGGTTTTGCTCTAGTTATCACCACAGGACCGCCTACCCTGCTGGCCCCCACTCACTATGATGTCTCCTCTTTCAACAAACTGTAGGCGGACTTGAAAGACAATGATGTCCAAAAGGTAGATGAAGTCACAGACGTAGTCCACAGCCATCCAGTAGTAGACATTTCCAGGTGTTTGGTATGGGAAAGCCCAACGGACTGGAATCAGCCAGCAGTTCCAGTTCCATGCCAGAACCACAATGAAGAGCCACAAGATATATATCAGATCTGGGAAAGGGGAAAGGAAAGACCAGCACGGACTCAGTAAGGTAGACAAAGTGTGTAGGTTGCCATGTTGTACTAAATAAAAAATTCCAAAACACAGAAACTTTATACATAGAACACAGTCGATAGATCTGGATTTTGTGGCCATTTTTTGTTTGTATGTTCCAGTAACTTTTAGTGAGTCCTAAACAGAGGTCATTTCGGGGGGGATGGGGGGGGAAAGCAGTTCCCCCGGGTGAGGTACGGGGGGCGGGGCACATGACGAAGCCCTGCCCCCTGCTTCCGGCCGCCCCGCTTCCGGCCCTCATTCAGCCAGGAGGAGGCAGGAGAAGAGGGAGGGTAAGTTGCTTCCTTCCTGCCTCTCCCCACCCCTGCCTGCCCAGGGCCAGGGAGGGCCTTCGCGGGGCTTCCTTGCACTCCCGCCGGCCTTGCAGGTCCACCGCCGGGCCCCTCATGGGGCTCGGCAGTGGAGCTTCAAGGCCGCCAGCGGCGGCCGGGACCATTGGGGGCGGGGTGTGTGGCCTTATGACACACTTCCAGTGATGTCAGGGGGTGTGGCCTTATGACACACTTCCGGTGATGTCAGGGGGTGTGGCATATGCTAATGAGTTATGCTAATGAGTTCCCCTAGCTCTTTTTCTACGAAACGACCCCTGGTCCTAAAGCCCATTTGGCATCCTACTTCATGCAACCCAATTTATTCTGCAATACAATTGTGCCCTAATGATCCTTTTCCAGCTTCACTATGCTCCCTCTCAGATTTGCTTCACTCCAGTCTTTTCCAGAACAGTGCTAATGCACTTGGATGGGGAAACTGTGCACGTTCAAAGGTCCCACCCATCTCAACATAATTTTTTTCTGTCATCAGCTCCTTGCAGCTGCCATTTTCTCCACCACGCCACCGGAGGGCTTCGGGGACCTTTTAAAATTCAACAATTGCTATAGCACTATAACGCTCTAACAATTGCTGATCCCCCCCCCCCCTTAAGACCTCAAAAAGCCCTCTGGTGGCACAGTGAGGAAAAATGCAGGGAGAATGGCAACAGATGGAAGAAAGCGGACAGCAGATTCCTCTGTGGAGGCTCCATTGCCAATGCCCCACTGGTGGACCTCCTGATGGCAGCTGGGTTTTGGCCATTGTGTGACACAGAGTGCTGGACTGGATGGGCCATTATACCTGATCCAACATGGCTTATCTTATGTTCTCACAAACCTCTTTGCAGCACCAATGAATGCAAATTGGAGAATCCTTGCCACATGGATGGAGCCTAATTAAAACAATTCACAGCAATCGAAAAGAAAAATAAAACTCAGATCTTATTACCTAAGTAAAGCCAGATAAAACCCTGTTCTGTTAAAAGCCTGATGAAAAATAAAAATAGGTTTCAGGGATTTTGATGAAAAATAAAAATAGGTTTCAGGGATTTAATGCTGAAAATCAGCACTTTGAATTAAATTCCGAAGCAATGCAGGGTTAGGCAGAAGAGGTGGTATTATAAGACTGCTGCCTAACACCAGATAAAAGACAGGCAGCTGCATGCTGCATCAAATGAAGTTCCCAAAATGGTTTTCAAGAGCCACCCCATGTAAAATGCACGGCAGTAGTCAAGCCTGGTAATGATCAGCCTAGCAGGGCCAGGTGTGTCTAGAAGGGTCAAGAATCTAGGTGGTAGAGGCAGATGAAAGTTTACAAACTCACCTAAAAGAAGCAGGAAAAGCACAGCAAAATAACATACAATCAAACAGCAAAAGCAAAGAAGAGAACACTGACAGTTGAGCCAGGGAATGCAACACAACACTGTGGGGTCAACACTTTCAAAGGCAGCCAGCCAGTGCAGCTAATATGGAGCTGGGGACACATGGTTCCTATAGCAAGCCTACATTTGCATTCTGGTACCCACCAACTGCATATTCTGAGCCATTTTCAAAGGCATAGGCCATGTCCAGACTATTTTCCTGTAAGATCTATACCGGTCAGAATGGTCATTGGCACAACAAATGCCTCTTTCGTGTTTTGTATCGAAGGCAAACACACATCCATCACTCAAGCAGCTCACAGGCAATTTAGGCCTCACATCTGGAAAAAAAACCTCACAAGATAATGTGACTGACAGATGTCATTTGAGAGCGGAAACATGATTTATGTTAATGAATGCAACATAAACACATGAGCTGTGGCCATTTAGGTCCCTGAGTGTCCCCATCCCGGAGTGTAGTAGAGACTAGAATCCTGAGACCAGTTCAGGATTGTTGTCACAGTTTTAGTATCAAATACAGTCCCATTCCTGGCACTTCATTTCTCTTTTTCATAGCAGCCTCATTAATTCCAAAAAAGCCCTGTCCAGCCCTGACCTGGATAGCCCAGGAAAGCCCGATCTTATCAGATCTCAGAAGCTAAAGCAGGGTCGACTCTGGCAAGTACAGCCACCTCTCTGAATATCCTCCAGTAGAGGTCAGTCACCAGGGGTTACCATGACTTCCAGGTGCACACACACTCACGTGTACACACACATGAACATACGAAAAATACAAAAAAATACCCCCCAAAAAAGCCAGGTACTCACTGGTGAGAGGATCAATACTGCTGGGGAACTGGCACTTTTTCACATGCCACCGCTTTGATTTGCCAGCCTGGTCCTCTTTCTCAGTTTCTTCCTTCTTTTCTTCTGGAGGCTTTTGTTTGGAAGGTGCTGTGAAGACAGACCAAAACAAGTAAAGTAATATTTGTTTTAATAACCTTATGTGCCACCTCTTCTGTTCCAAGAACGACCAAAACTCACAATTAAAATAACATAACATGCAATAACCACCACTGAAATCCAGTTTAAAAGTACAATCCATAAAACCCCGGAGGAAAACTCACTGTCTTCCATAAACAAATCTCTAAATCTACCTGAAAGGCCCAGGAAAGTAAAACTGACACACACCCTGGGGGGAAAGATTCCCTTGTTCAACACTTTGGGTACCTGAATCCATTTATGGCCATAAAGGTAAAAAACAGCACTTTGAATTTGGCTAAAAAAAACACCCAATCACTATAGTTTACAACTTTGGGCATAAAGCAGAGGTCGCTGGGAAAGCAGTTGTGAATTTTCTACACTGTGCAGGGGATGGGACTAGAGGACCCTTGAGGTCCCTTCCAGCTCTATGTTTCTATGTTCTGTGTTTCTATGTTTATTGCAGCAATCCCACTAATACTGTAGTCACTGCATTTTCTATACTAGCTGAAGTTTCCAGATGGAAACTTCAAAGAAGGGTTGCCAACCTGGCAATCTCCAAAACTGGTCTCCTGATGATAGAATCAGTTCCACAAACCGAACCACAAACCCATACGAAGGGGGAGGTTGGTTCGCAAACCGTTCGTATCAGTCTGAGAACCTTTTAAAGTTTAACCCCCTGCTTTCTGCTCCCCACAGCCATTTAAACCAAACAGCTGAGCTGTTTGGTTTATGGAAGTTTGTGGCAGTTCTTCAGGTCACAAACATCCACAAACCACAAACCCACCAAATTTCATGATGAACTTTAGTTTGTCAGCCAGTTCATGCCCATCCCTACTGACTTTCTTTTACCAGCCAGAGTTCAGAAGGTCCCAGCTGCCTTCATTGAACACATGCTGATTCTTCAGGAACAAGACAAACTCCATCAGCTACAAATTGACGCCCTGCCAGCTGTTGCAAACTGGAAACTAGCAGGAAAAACTTGTTCTGCCACCTTTTGACATGACTACCCTTAAAGACAGTTTTAGGTTGGTCTTTGAGCATTCACAGAGTGCAAATTCAACATTCACCCTGCCAAATCTTGAACTTTTACCATGATACTTACAGGGCGCGGGTGTCTCTTCATCAGAAGAAACATCCGGGTCAACCAGCTTTTCTTTCACTTTCTCTGTCCGGTCTTTAAAAAGCCGCACCAATTCCTGCAGGCGATCGTTGATCACATCGCTGCTCTGGCTGGTTGTGGAGCCACTGCGTTTGGGCAAACTGCAGAGGTTACAAACGAAAAACTTCTGGTTAACCAGACCTACCATTCCACCAGGCACAGATGATCTCGGCCATTGCTGCAGGCAGAGAAGAGAGGATTTTTATACTCCACTTTTTGGAGGGACCTGTGACTGGCTCATGGTTACTCAACAGGCTCCAGATTCACGTCCCCTGCTCTCAGCCACTACACCGTGCTGGGACCCTGGGGGGTGGATGCATATGGCATTTTACAAGCCATTTAAACACAAATCAAACAGTTTTGAACTATTGCTATAATGCAATGGGCACACAATTACCAAGCATGAGTGGATGTTGCCAAAATGTATCCCAAAGTACAAATGTTTAATACTTTATAATTTTTAAATCTATTTTTTTCTCTGAATCAAATACACATTAAAGTTTTGTCAATGACAGAAATCTTCACAATGCAGACAAAACAGTCTAGTACAGGAATACACATTGCCCTGATGTGCTAAACTGTGGTGCTTGCCAGACTGTTTAGATCAACACACAGGGCTTGGTGTTCTACCAAATCAACCAGGAAGTGCCCTAGAGGTGCTAAGTGCTAACCATGCTGTGTCACCAACAGCATGGAGAAACAGGCTTTTCTGTATTATCATTTTCCTGGCTTGTGTGTTCCTGTTTTTTTTGGGGGGGGAGGTCCTGTTCTGCATATGTTTTGCCCCCTCTAGTGGTCAATTCAATATTACATAATTTTATGTCTGTCTTAAAAACCTGCAATTTAAACCTGCAGGGAGATATACTGGACATAAATCAATCTAATATTGAATCGACCACTAGAGGGAGCAAAACACAAGCAGAACAGAAAAAAACCCCAAAGCAACAGGAACACGCAAGCAAGGAAAATGAGAATGCGGAAAAGCCAAGTGACTAGTATGGTTAATGGCATATGTATCTTTTGGATCCATGCAACTGTCAGGCAGGTCCACACATAGACACACATCCCAAGGCACTGTTGATACTGCTTGCACTTGGTTTGTTCTTGGGTGTCTGTTGTCTTCTCCCAGTTTGGTTCACCACTGCACCAACATCATCACAGGAAAATGTCTGGCAACCAGGCCAAGAAGTTTGCCTATCCCTGGTCTAGTACCATCTACCATCATAATTTTTCTCATCATTGTTCTTAGTCAAAGACATCTTCTAAAATATTAGAACCACAATAAGGGCCAGCATGGATCCAGTCTGGTTGAGGACTACACACATGTAGGAGTAGGACTTAAAAGGGGGGAGGAGGTGAGAGCATTCTCGGTGATTGGCCGGCCGGAGAGCGATCACTTCCCATTGGCCCTGGTTTTTAATTTAACCTTCACTGTTGTAGAACATGAGGTCTTGAGGGATGAACCAAGAGAAGTGTCCTATAGTACTCCTAAGATTTGTTGGTCTGAGAAAGTGGCTCGAAAGGCTGCTGAGGTCTTGGAGCCTCGACACCTGGAAGAGTTCATACATCTATCTAGGGAACCAAATAGGACCTCAGACCTGATTCAGGCATATGACTATACTATAACCCAACTGGTAGAATCGATATCATCCCATTACCATCAATCTGGGCATAACAAATCGCGTCAGTTAGGGACATGGTTTGATAGAGAGTGCTATGAAGCAAAGGCCCAAGTCCGTTCCATATATCAGACATACAGAAAGTGTTGCTTAGGATGCTTACCTCCAGAATACTTTGAGGCGAGAGCATCTTTGATTAATCTATATAGAGAAAAGCAAAAACTGGCCCGGCAGAGGAGTTGGGAACCTCTTCTGCACGCTACAATTAGTAACGACTCAAGGAAATTTTGGGCCGTGATATCGGAGGCATTTGGCAGGAACAGACTTGTGAATTCCTCAATTACTAATAAGGACTGGCATGAACATTTTAAGATGGTTTTTATGGCCAAGAGAGCGCCAGAGGGTGAAGAGTGTGAGATTAAGTTAGAAGATTGCCCGGAATGGCCACCGGTGCAAGCTGATGAGACAGAAGTTTTAATTGCACAAATTAAGTCCAGGAAGGCACCGGGCCCGGATGCAATTCCTCCTGAGGCTTTAAAAGCATTTCCAGATTGGTGGGCTCCCTTTTTGGCGGCCCT